GGTGCAGGCTAATGGGGACACCATGGTGAAGGAGCGCTGTGAGCCTGGGCCTGGACGCAGGCGTGTTTATGGAAAGAACATTCCGGAGGGTGGGCCTGGGGTGCGGCTGAGCAGGGCAGGGCCAGGGGCTGTAGGAGCCATGTGGTGAGTGCAGGGTCCTTGGGGGCCAAAGTCTGACTGGGGCAGGGTCCTGGGGAGGGCAAGGCATCTGTCCCCTGTGAACTCCTTCCAGCAGCTTCCAGGACTGAGCTGGGGGTGGGCCTCCCTGGGGCCCAGACCTGAGTGGGGGCCACCTCCAAAGGCCTGGCAGGCCCCTGCCCCCTGCATCCTGAAAGGGCACACTGAGCCCATCTTAGCCTTGGCTGGGGGAAGGGGCTACTCTCTCCTGTCTGTGAGCTGAGTGTGCCTGCGGCGTGTGCACATACTTTGCATGCACACGCATGCCCTCACTGCCTGTCACACACATATTCCCCAGCACTGCCACCCTGCTAACACCACTGTGCAGTTTACAAGGGCCTCGGTGGTGCACGTGCTCTAGCTGCAGGCAGTGAGGAACCAGCGAGGGGAAGGGACGAACTGTGTACCTGCATGGTAGGGCGAGGGTCTGTGTGTTTGAGGAGGGACAGGGGGTGGAGTCTGCGGTGCAGACATGGCTCTGTGGGACGGCTCCAGTGTGAAGTGTGTCTGTGTAGTGTGGGACAGTCATAGACACACATCCAGGCACATCCTGTGTAGGGATTCAGCATCAAGGGTCCAGAGCATCTGGCCCAGATCTGTGTTGGCAGGTGGGTGGTTCTTGGAAATGTGTGTGAGGCTGTGTTGAGCGGCAGCCCTCGAAGCTCATGGCAGGTGGGTGGCATGGAGACACCAAACCCTCTCCATGGAGGGGGCTTGGCTGGCAGTTGGCCCGACTCTGTCTGCTCCTGCTGTAGGGCACCCACCCTGTCCCTGGCCCCAAGAGGGACTGACAGTGGCCTCCTTGAACTTTGTGCCGTCCACATGCCAGGCCATTCCCTTTTTAAAAATCATTATTTTATTATTGACTTTATTGGGGTGACATTGGTTGATAAAATTATATAGGTTTCAGGTGCACGATTCTTTTTTAAAAAGAGATTTTATTTATTTTTAGAGAGAGGGGGAAGGAGGGAGAAAGAAATATCAGTGTGTGGTTGCCTTTTGTGCACCCCCCACCCCCACCCCCGCCAATGGGAACCTGGCCTACAACTCAGGTATGTGCCTTGACTTGGAATTGAACCTGCGACCCTTTGGTTCACAGGCCAGCACTCAATTCACTGAACCACACCAGCCAGGGCCCAGGTGTATAATTCTTAATACACCATCTGTATATTGTATCATGTGTTCACCGCCCAAGTCAAGTCTCCTTCCATCACCATTTATTTCCCCCTCTATCCTCTTCTACCTCCCCCCACCCCCTTTTATACGCCAGTCCATTCCTAAGACTCCCAGCAAACGTCCTTTCCTCTGGAAGCTGTCCCCACTCCTCCCTAGATACTCCCTACACTCTCCAGGTTCCCTCACTTGGTGCTGCTCTGTTCATATTGACTTGTACCCCCAGAGCCACTGCCGGTCTTGGCTTAGAATGAGCTGCTCAGCAGCGAGTGAGTGAATGAATGAATGAGTCAGCGTGTGGCCCACCCACTCCCATGGCCTGGAAATGCACCCATATGGACCTGGCACACAAGTCCCAGCTTGCCTACATGACCCTGGGCAAGGCCGCCCTGTCCTACCAGTAATACAGGGCTCAGAGAACCAGGGTCACTGACCTTGACCTTTCATGTCAGCTGGCAGAGGGAGGATGGAGGGTGTTGGAGTGGGAAAAGACCCCCATCTGCTAAAACCTGCCTGAGCTCTAGCTCAGAGCAAGCCCTGGAAGTGGCCCCTGGCTTCCTCCGGCTGTGTGCCAGAGCTGGGACTAGGACCCGCACCCGGTGGGGCAGCCGCAGCATGGGAAGAGCTCAGATGGAGCCCTGCAGAGGTGGGAGCCAGCAATACTGGTCCTGGTGGGTGGAGACAAGGATCTGGACTCCAACTTCAGGGTGGGCTCAGTGGATGGGGAGTGGGTGAGGGCAGCAGCCCCTGCTTCCCACAGTGCTCACCTCCTGCCCAGCCAGGGTGGGGGCACCCTGGGAGCAGAGCCTGGGGCTGCAAGGGTCCTGTGGGCGCTTCAGGAGGTAGTGGAGTAGGGGAGAGGGGGATTGCTGGCTTCTGACAGGCAGGGAACAGCAAGCAGACAAGCTTCAGGGACTTACCAGCTGTTCACTAGTCGTGAGGCAGGAGGGCCAGGGCTGGGCTGGGGGATGGGCTTCCCCTGTGGGGGCTCATGAAGAGTTTTAGGGGGAGCAGCGTGGTTTGAGGACAAGGCTGCCTGGAACCCCTTCCTCAAAGGCCTGGATATGCTGCTGTGGCAGGCTCTGTATCTCCCTGAGTCAAGGCACACTCCTGTTCCCACAGTCCTCCTGTCCCAACTGGCTCTGTCAACGTTTGCTGACTGGCTGAATGACCTGACAACTTGGTCAGGGCACATGACCCACAGAGGAACCTCAAGCACTAGGTGCTGCTGCCCCCTGGTGGCTGTGACTGGGAGGGCCCTCCTGAGCTTGCATGTCTGGATCTCTAAGGCCTCCCAGTGCCTGGTTTCTGAGCTGCTTGGGCCAGAATTATATAAGAGATTTCTGTCCTGTCTCACTTGTCAGATGAGGAGACAGAGGCCTTCAGGAGCACCTAATTTTTCAAGAGCCACCCAGCCTCCAGAATCTGATGCTGGGTTCCTGGTACCCTGGACTACAGAAGGCTTGTCAATAGGGTACCTAATTAAATTTGAATTTTCGATAAAAAACAAATAATCTTTGAATATTCATGTGTCTCATGCAATATTTTAAGTTTGATTTGCCTTATGTGGCAGTCCTACTTGTCAAGCCATAGAGCTGAGCCTGCACAGCCCCAAAGCAGGTCAGGATCTGGAGGGGCCAGCTCCCAGGCCACCCCCAGGGCAAGAGCACATGGCCCTCCTGGTGGAGCCACCCTCATACCCAAAGACTTAGACCCCCAGTCCAGCTCCAGCCCCTAAGCTCGACTGCTGAGAGGCCCTCAGACCTCCCGGTTCAGCCCTCTCCACCGAGACCACAGCCTGAGGAAGGTCATCTCAACTCAGGTTCCACCTCAGCAACCCCTGTGGCCAGAGGCACAGACTGTCCCATCGGGACCTGACGTCACTCTGTCCCTGAACCTGTCCCTGGGAACCTGAGACAGAACCAGAGGGGAGCTGCTGTCGAGGGGCTGGCCAGGCAGTGAGTGGAGGGCTTCAGGAGGGCCCCCCACAGCGCCTGCCCCCACTCAGTCCTGCAGCCATGAGTACACTGCATCTGAGCTGGCCTCGCTTCCAATGGCTGCAATTCTTGGTCCCCAAGTAAGAAATGAATGGAAACTCAAATTCAAGGAGCCAAGATCACCAGAGCCAACTCAACCCTGGGATGGGAGTCCCTCAGCCCTGCTGGAAGCAATACCAGGGTCAAGAGGCCACCAGAGACCCAAGGGCTGGCCTGTGGAGAACGGGGGACAGGAGGCAACTCCCTGCGTCAACCTGGTCTGCAGGCAGGACCTCTCCCTCCATGAGGCAGCTCACAGAGCGGCAACTACATTTCTGAACCAAAAACTGAGGCGCACTGCCCCCCTCAAAATAAAAAGATTTTTTTTCTGTGAATTTATTTATTTGAGATATCCTACTTGTCAAGTCATGGAGCTGAGCCTGCACAGCCCCAGGGTATTGTATGTTAATGAATCAGTTTTACGTGGGTGCCATTTGCTCCTCTGTGGCCCTCCCTGGGCCTGGGCCTCAGGGGTGGGGCCTTCATGGCCAACGTCCAGGTGCTGAGAGGAGCTGGGAGACAGACAGGGGAACAAGAACAGTGCTGTATTTCAGATGATCCTAAGAGCCAGGAAGAAAACAGACCTAGGGGATGTGCCTGGGGAGTGACGGGGACGACATTGGCTTCCTGCTGCTGCCCTGACACATGGCCTCAGACAGAGTGGCCCAGACCACTGTGTGTGCAGCTGCAGCTGCTGTGGGTCAGAAAGCCGAGGCAGGTTCATTGGGCTGCGCTCCTCCCCAAAGGCTTCTGGAGGCCCCTGTCCCTGCTCACGGGGTCCTGGCAGAATCTGCTCCTTATGGGACATTTCCCTTCTGTGTCCCTGCCAAAGCCACTCCCAGCTTCCAGGGGCCCCTGAAAATCTTATACCATGGTCCCTTCATCCATCTTCAACTGCCTACCTTGGTCCACCTGGCTGACATGGGATGGTTGCCAGGATACTTCTGTGACCTGTCTTACCATCGTGGCCTGTCTTAGCTCTATGACCTGTTGCCAAGTGATGCTGCACAGGTGTGGTTTGGGACCTCTGCAGCAACTCCCCAGTAGGGTCAGGGAAGGGCTCCCCAAGATCTTCTCACATTCAAACTCAGACTGGGCTGTTGAGACAGAGCTGGACACATGGAGAACTGGGGAAGCCTCTCCCAATGCAACAGCAAGTGCCCCAGACAGGGACAGCCAGTCTGGCTGGCGGGCAGGGCAGGGCAGGTGTGCGGATGAAGGGCCCTCCGGTGGGTTGAAAATGCTATCACAACCATTATGGCTTTTAGGCACGACCATGATATGATCTGATTTATATTTTTTAAAGATCATGCTGTGATTTGACATTAGAAATAATATTTGAGATGTGTCTTGAGGGCACATGTAGGATTTAGACAGATGAAAAGGGTGAGAAATGTGCTTCAGGTACAGAGACCGGGGATGTGGCCTGGGGACAGGAGATATGAAGAGCAGAGTCTGGTTCCAGGAAGAGACCAGTGAGTGACAGGATGGGGAAATAGAAGACCCTGCAGAGGGGGCAGGGCAGTGGGGATAGGGCACCCTCCAGGGAGGGGGCAGGGCAGAGGGGGTAGGGGACCCTCAATGGAGGAGGCAGTTTAGAGGGGTAGGGGCCTTCCATAAAGGGAACAGAGGAAGGGGGCATAGGGGGCCTTCCATAAAGGGAACAGAGGAAGGGGGCATAGGGGGCCATCCTTGGAGAGAGCAGGCCAGAGTGTCTAGGGTACCCTCCATGGAGAGATGTGGGCAAGGGGGGACAGAGGACCCTCCATGGAGTGGGGATGGCAGGGGGATAGGGACTCCATGGTTGGGGCAGGGATGACAGGGACCTGTTATGGATGAGAGAAAGGAGGAAGGCCAGGGGATGTGGGGCAGGGGATACTGCAACCTCCATGGAGGGTTCCCTGCTCTGCCCATGGAGGGTCCTGTTTCCCCTTCCCTGCCTCTTCCCAGGGTCCCCTGTCCCCCTGCCCTCCCTTCTTCAGAGAGGGTCTCCTGTTCCCCTGCCCTGTCCCCTCACTCACAGGCCTCTGAGAGGCAGCTGCTCTGGTCTGCTGTTTCCATCTCTCCTGTCTTCTGGCTTCGAGCCCACTCTCCATACCTGAAGCACACCTCACCCTCTTCATCTAAGTGAGTGATTTTTCATCCGGTGTGCCACACAAATTTTTAAAACATGAAATACCTGACTATTTAGTCAGAGGCACTGATCCTTTTCCCTTAGATTGTCAAATTTAAAAAGTAACAACATAGTTTTAAGCAGGAGCCTAAAGAAATGTTGGCCATTTCAGAACTTAGGAAATGTAATAGTCAATTCATTAGAAATGTTTAAGGAAAGAGAGAAAAGAGAGGAAAAAAGGAGAAATGCATGATAAAAGCATTGGAAAGAGACCAGCGCCCCCATCTAAATAGTCAGATATTGCAGCTCTACACGTCCTCCCAGCACACCAGTGTGTCGCTGTGCACTGGCTGAAAATCACTGGTCAAAAGCCTGCCTGCTCAAGCTTTTTGTGTCTCAGACACATCTCCAGTCTCACTTCTACTGTCAAATTACAGAGTGCCCTCTAGAGGAGAATGGGGTGGGGTGGAAGAGGGTGCCGGTGAGTGGATGGAGATGGGAGGGACCTGGGGTAGAGAACTGCTGCTCACGGAGCAGTGCGGAACTGCTCACCAGCGCCTGCGTAGTTTCATCCAGCAGTGTCACCCAGGCCATTCAATTGAACCAGATAAAAGGGGGGGTCTTTGGGAGTGATTAGATCATGAGGGTGCAGACCTCATGAATGGGATTAATACACTTTTAAAAGAGATCCCATACTAGACTTATTGGGAAGATCACTTTGTAAGTTTATAAATGTCTTATCACTAGGTATACACTTGGAACTAACATTGACTGTCAACTCTAATTTAAAAGTTTACAAAATTATTAAAATATAAAAAATAAATGAAATAAAATAAAGTGTATATAAATAAAAATATAACTCATAGTGATCTTTTAAAAATATAAATCACATCATATCATTGTCATGTCTAAAAGCCTTGCAGGGGTGCCTAACCCCTGCGTCTCTGCATGTCTCTGCGCCACACTGGAAGAAGAGTTGTCCTGGGCCACACATTACATATACTGTGACATGTAATCACAAAAGAATCTTGTAATGTGTTAAGTAAGTTTATAGTTTTGTGTTGGGCGGCATCATAGTCATCCTGAGCCACATGTGGCCCAGGGGCTGCAGGTTGGACACTCCCGGCTCCAGCAGCTGTCAGCTGTCCAGACGGGCTCACTGCTGAGAGAGGAATGTCCTGTCTTCTTTCTCCAGGTGCCTCTGTCACTGTTCAGGTGGCATCTGACATTGGTGCAAGGCAGAACTATGCTCCATTGAGACTGCACTAAGCATTCATTGTGGCTGCTTAGATCTAGTGTGGGAGAAGACACACAAAGGTATATATTTTTTAAAGTCTTAACAATTCTGATAGCATTTTCAACTCACCCGAGAAGCATTCATGCCCTTCCCCCGATGCTCCCCTGTACCCCAGCCAGTTTGGCTCACCCAGGCCGGGGGCAGAAGACTGAGACAGTGCTGCCCCAGCAGCTAGTGAACAAGCATCTGCTTGGATGCCTGAACAGAACCTCATTCCTCTTAGGAAGCAAAGGGAGGGAGGCATCTGCTAGGATCAACTACACACGAGGGGAGTAACCTTTTCATGACACAGGGACAGGATCATGGCTGCATGACCCCCACCGTACTCTTGCTCCATTGCCATCTCCCTGGGGACCCATGGTTCCCCCATGGCAGGAAGCAGCTCCCTGGACCCTGAGAACCCGCAGACCCTCTGCAGAGCCCTTGAGCTCATACCACTGATCCCAGACTATGGATCCTGGACTAAGTCCTGGGATGTGGCCTGTTTCAATTTTTTAATCCACTCTTACAAAGAAAGTCAGGTCTGGGTCCCTTGTACACTGCTCAAAGATGTGCAATCACCCAGTGGGTGGCAGCTAGACCTGGTTTACCCTGGAACACGTGCTGAGTGGCCTCAGACCCAGCATCGACACGGAGTTTAAACTTGTATCAGTCTGGTGAATACCACTTGCCTCTACCTGGTGACTCCTTGAGAACTTGCCTCGTACAACTCAAATACTGCCAGAGGCTTTTTCAGTGACTGAGCCAAATAGGTGGAGACAGGCAGAGGTGGATCTTGAGGTACCTTGGGACATTTACTGAGCTGCCCCAGGGCCCCGTGCTGGAAAAAGCTATCCTTGTTGCATTGCTTGGACCTTCCTGTGCTCACTCAGGCCCAGCAGAGGCAGCCACAAACTGTGGATTGCTTTGTAGCTCAAAACATGTTGCTCAGGGTCAGTCACAGGAAGTATCTGGCATTGGCTGGCACCAAAGTCCCTCACAAGAGGCCCCAGAACCAATGTATCCAGTGGCCCGCTTCAGACAGCACCAGAGCAAGATCTAATTAGCTCCACAAGCAGCATATCCAAAGAGGGATCACAACAGGCACCAGACTTTACTGAGGCAAATTCTGCTCTGTATGGTCAGCACCTGCACTGTGATCAGGGTAGATTCTCAGTCAGTCAGCCTGAGGATTGACCCCACACTTGAATGGGCCAATAGTGATCAAGACTCAATCACAACAGGAGAGCCCACATAACCTGCACACAGGACATTCCTGGAGCACCCAGTCAGTTTATCAGGGAGATTGTGCCACTGGGTCCCAAAGGACACCTACTAAATAAGGCCACCCTGTCAGGATGGGGAGTCACACAAATCCACCTACTACATAGAAAGAAACATAAAGAGGCAGCCAAAATGGGGAGAGAAAAAAAAACATGCCTCAAAGAAAAGGAGACACCTCGAGAAAAACTGCTAAATGAAGAGGAGGTAAGCAATAGGATATAGAGTTAAAATAAATGGTTATAAGAATGCTCAAGAACTTAGGGGAAGAATGGGTAAAATCAGTGAGATCTTAAAGAGACAATAAGCATGAAAAAGGACATAGAAGCAATAGAAAAGAACAAAACAAAACAGGCCCTGGCCAGTGTGGCTTGATTGATTGGAACACCATCCTGAAAACCAAAAGACAGCGGTTTTGATTCCTGGTCAGGGTGCACGCCTAGGTTGCAGGTTTTGTCCACGGCCAGGGTGCATATGAGAGGCAACCAATCGATGTTTCTCTCTCACAGCAATGTTTCTCTTCCTCTTTTTCTCCCTCCCATACCCTCTCTCTAAACTCAATGGGCATGTCCTTAGGTGAGGATTTAAAAAAAAAATGAACCAGTTAGAAATGAAGAATACACTAGGAGAAATAAATGGTTGGATGAAGCTGAGGACTGAATCAGCAATTTGGAAGACAAGGTAGCAAAGATACCCAATCAGAGCAGCAGAAGGAAAAAAATTAAAAATTAGGATAGTTTAAGAGACCTTTGAGACAACATGATGCGTAACAACATCTGCATCATAGCACTAGAAAAAAAGAGAGACAGCAAGGTATCGAGAACTTATTAAAAAAATAGACAAAACTTCTCTAACCTGGTGATTAAAAATTAAAAAAAACACACAAGCCTATCAAAATGTCCATACTACCCAAAGCAACTTACACATTCAATGCAATACTTATTAAAGTACTAATGTCATATTTCACAGACATAGAACAAACACTTCAAAAATTTATATGGAACCATAAATGACTCCGAACAGCTGCTGCAATTTTGAGAAAGAAGAGTAAAGTAGGAGAGATCACAATACCTGATAGTAAACTATATTACAAGGCCACTGTAATCAAAACAGCCTGGTGCTGGGATAAAAACAGGCACAAGGACCAGTGGAACAGAACAGAGAGCCCAGAAATAAACCCAAGTCTCTATAGTCAATTAATATTTGACAAAGGGGGCAGCAACATAAAATGGAATAAAAATAGCCTCTTCAACAAATGGTTTTGGGAGAATTGGACAGCTACATGCAAAAAAGTGAAACTCGAGCACCAACTTACACCTTACACAAAAATAAATTCAAGGTGGATAAAAGACTTAAATATAAACCGTGACACCATTAAAGTCCTAGAGGAGAACATAGGCAGGAAAATCTCAGATATTTCATGCAGAAACTTTTTTACTGACATGTCCCCTAGAGCAAGGGACATAAAGGAAAGAATAAACAAATTGGACCTCATCAAAAATAAAAGCTTCTACACAGCTAAAGAAAACAGTATCAAAATAAAAAGAGAACCAACCATATGGAAAAACATATTTGCCAATGATACCTCAGACAAGGGTTTAATCTCCAAAATATATAAAGAACTTACACGACTCCACTCTAAGAAGACAAGCAACCCAATTAAAAAATAGGCAAAGGACTTGAACAGACACTTCTCTAAGGAGGACATACAGAGGATCCAGAGACACATGAAAAGATGCTCAATATCGCTAGCTATCAGAGAGATGCAAATTAAAACCACATTGAGATACCACTTCACACCAGTCAGAATGGCCATCATAAACAAAGCAACAAACTACAAGTGTTGGAGAGGTTGTGGAGAAAAGGGGACCCTAGTGTACTGTTGGTGGGATTGCAGACTGGTACAACCACTATAGAAAACAGTATGGAACTTCCTCAGAAAACTAAAAATGGATCTGCCTTTTGACCCAGCAATTCCATTGCTGGGACTATATCCTAAGAACCCTGAAACACCAATCCAAACCTTTGCACCCCAATGTTCATAGCAGCACAATTTATAATAGCCAAGTGCTGGAAGCAACCTAGGTGCCCATCAGTAAATGAATGGATCAAAAAATATGTTACATTTACACAATGGAATTCTATGCAGCAGAAAGAAAGAAGGAGCTCCTACCCTTTGCAACAGTTTGGATGGAGCTGGAAAGCATTATGCTAAGCGAAATAAGCCAGGCAGTGAAAGAAAAACATCATATGATCTCACCTTTAACAGGAACCTAAACAACAAAACAAAGAAACAAGCAAAATATCGTCAAAGACACTGAAATAGAGGACAGGCTGACAGTGATCAGAGGGGAGAGAAGAGGGAATTTCAGGGGAGAATGGGAAGGGTTTACAGGAACAAATATAAAGGACACATGGACAAAAACTAGGGTGGGGAGGTGGGAGGGATGCATGGGTGGGCTGGATTGGGAGTAAAAGGCAGACAACTGTACCTGAACAATGATTAAAAAAAATCACACAAGTCCAGGAAGCCCAAAGAGCCCCAAACACGATGAACCCAAAAAGGCTCATACCAAGACACATCATAATTAAAGTGGCAAAGTTTGAAGAAAAAAATCTTAGAAGCAGCAAGAGAAAGACAGTTGCCCAGATAGGAGTCCACAGAAGAATGTAAACTGCTTTCTCAACAAAAACATTTCAGGTTGGAAGAAATTTGCACAAAATATTCAAAGTGATGAAAAGCAAAGGCCTACAACCCAAACTACTTTACCCAGCAAGGTTCTTATTTAAATCTGAAGGAGACCCAGCTGGATGGCTCAGGTGGTTGCAGCATAGTCCTGGTGCGCCAAGGTTGCAGGTTCAATTTCCAGTAGGGGCACATATAAGAAACAACCAGTAAGTGTGTAGATGGGTCAAACAGCAAGTCGATGTTTTTCTCTCTTTCTATTTCTCTCTCTAAAGTCAATAAATAAAAATTTTAAAAATAATAAATTTGATGAAATAAAGTGCTTTCCAGACAAGGAAAAGCTGAAGGAGTTGGTAACCACAAAACCAGTATTATAAGAACTGTTAAAAGTTCTTCTTTAAGAAGAAGAAACAGAAAAAAGAGGAACATAGTGAAATGAATAAAATGGCAATAAATACACACCTAACAATAATCACTTTAAGTGTAAATGGCCTAAGTGCTCCAATCAAAAGACATGGTACCTGAATGGATAAGAAAACATGATTCACATGCATGCTGTCTACAAGGGGCCCACCTCAGAATGAAGGATACACACCGACCAAAAGTAAAGGGATAAAAAATATTTTATGCAAATATAAATATAAAACTGGAGTAGCAATCCCTATATCTGCCAAAATAGATTTTAAAACAAAAGCTACATTAAGGGACAAGGACACTACATAATGATAAAGGGAACAAAACCAACAAGTAGGTATAATCCTTGTAAACATTTCTGTACCCAATATAGCAGCATCTAAACATATAAAGCAAATCTTGGTGGACATAAAGGAAGAGACTGACAGTAATATGGCTGTAGCAGTGCATTTTAACATTCCATTGACATGAATGGATAGCTCTTCCTGACAAAGTATCAACAATGAAAGAGGATTTTAATGACACACTAGATCAGATGGATTTAATTGATATCTTCAGAACATTTCACCCTGAAACAGCAGAATATACATTCTTTTCAAGGCACATGGAATGTTTCCTAGGATAGACAACATGTT